TTCAGTCAGAAAAATTATTTATTAGTCAGATACACAGACACAACGGTTAATTCTAATAATTTAATTATCATCAATAGAAAAAAAATGAGATTCTGTCCAAATTTCTCAATTATTTCAAAAATAAATTAATATCAATAGTAAATATCAATTTTCGTCGGACAAATAATTTTAATTACTACTTATTTTCATATATTCCCATGTATTAATAAACCTGAATAAAATAAATATCCCTGAAAATTGAGACAACTTTCAACGACTAGAAATTTCTCTACACTCTAGAATACTAATTAGTAAATAAATTTCAATTACCCTTAATTCCACATTTCTAAAATTACATAAATATATACATAAATGATATCGTATTTTTTTTAACGATACTTTCAAAAAAAAATTTGCAAATAAATAGAAAAAAAAACGTGTAGACTTGGCTGTTAAAAAAATGTTGACCTAATTTTTTTTTTTTTTTTATACCTTGAACATTCGTATATTTCTATGAGGTATTCATGTTTCAGTGAACAAACCTTGGTTTACAAACTGGTTTCTAGAACTTACCAAATTAACGTTCCGTTAACGTAACCCACGTTCATAAAGCTCGTTGGATATAACTTTTGAGTTACTCGAAAGGAATTTTGCATTTCACTGTGTTTCCCCTCCCTACCTCTTCCTTCTATTTCCAGTTTTCCGACGAGTCAAATAACAAACCTAAATTGCGCACTTCTTGTGCATTAATGCAAATCTTCTCATTAAAATTGTAATCTTATTGCGTGAGTGTATAAACTGATTAAAATATAACCAATTATAAGTTTCTGTTTAAAATTCCCCTCAAACAAAATTTCTCTTCTTGAATAACAAATAAGAGAAGATTTCTTAATAAGCTACATTGAAAACATTTTTATTCAAAAACAACTTTTTTTTTCTATTATTATAATTTTTGCTTTTAATTTTGAAATTTTTTTTTTTTAATTTATTTTTGAAAAATTTGCAAAATCTAATTTATTTAATTATAAATGGAATATTTTAGAAATATTCCACTAAAATAATTTTTCTATTATGATGTTTAAAACTATTTTTTCTTTTATAATTTTTTTTTTAAATCTATTTTAATTTACTGTGGCATATAACTATTTTTTTTTGTTTCTTTGCATATATTTAAAAACATTGGAGACTATTTTTTTCAGAAGTAATCCTAACTCGTATAGCTGCTGGATTAATTAAAGTTTATTCTTTCTTAATTTAAAAAGTTGCGATTTTTGCGCGGCATTTAGCTCTTAAATGAAAACAGCAATCTTCGCGTTCCTTCTAAAGAGAATTTAGCACGCGACAGCAATTATGTTTTAGTAGTAGGAAAAAAAAGCCCCTGCGTTCGGTTTACCACAAACATTAATTTCAAAGTAAAACAAGTTTCTTAGTTGGCATTTACGTGCATCCTTGAACCATTAAATTTCAAAAAAAAAAACCTTTTGTTTCCCACTTATAATTTACAAAAATTTATAATTTTTTTTTCTTTTGTAAAAAAAAATCTAAATATTTGCTTTTTGTCAAAAACCGTTTTCTTTTTATTATTTTTATAATAAAAAGGCCTTGTACAATCAATATTTTTTCGTTTTTTTTTCTAAATCCAAAAAAAGTTAATTAAATATTAAATATTTTAATTTTTTTTATTTTTCGCCACTAAATTTCAAACTAATTATTCTATTTACCATCTCATATTTTTTTTCTAATTATCCCAAAAAGTTAATTTTTTTAATTTCTTTCCTCCGACACAAAAAATTCGCAATATTTTCTATACTTTTTCGACGGGAGTAATTTCTCTTTTCACAGGATGATTTCTTTAAAACTGAAATTTAACAAAATTGGAGGACAGGGCAATTTCAACACGTTTTGAGCCTCGGAATAAAACCGGAAGTTGTTCATCGCAGGGTGAGAGAAGCGGGGGGGGGGGGGGTAGTTAAGGTTTTGGACCAGAGATGAAGTGCGGAGAGAAACGTACAGATAATTGGTTTTTGCCGACAGCAAATCGGAAGGGCGAATTACTGCAATTGAGGGTTCGTGATTCCCTCGGACAGTTCTACAGATAATAAGAGTTTCCCGCGAAGGAGAAACTTGCTTGTTAGAAGACCGGAAATGAGTGTCATCGATAAAAAGAAGAGGGCTCGCTTGCAATTTTTCCTTGCACGCTGCTTGAAATAAAATTCAATTTCCGTACACTGACCGACCCTCATCGAAAAACCTTTTATACAAAAAAAAAAAGAAAAAATGCTACTATACTCTACAAAAATAGAGGAAAAAAATAAACCAAACCAACTTCTAACCAAAAAGTAATAATACCATATTATTATTATTATTATTATTAACTTTCTTAGAATTACGTTTCAAACATAATGGAGAATAAAAAACAAAAAGAAGAGATTTATTTTTGAATGAATAATAAAAAAATACTAAAAGAATTGAGTAACAGTTAAAAATAAAATTCTAAATGTAATTTTTGAACTGGAAATTGTAAAGAGCTTTCTTGGGCATTGGGAAAAGTAGAGTATTCAAAAGGCCAAGCAAAAGTCGATAGTACCAGCGACAGATTTAAGGTTCTCTCACTGGGAGCAAAAAATCTTCATTTCGTTCGTGTAGAATAGAAAGAGAGTCAGAAGACTTGTAAGAAAGAAGACAGCAATGAAGAAGAAGTATTAGAAACCTTGGTATGGGAAAGAGATCGGTGGAAAGGCTTCGGGACACTGAAGGGAAACGATTGAACGTTTCGTATCAATGCTGGATTCGAAGCACACACACACACACACACATACACACATACAAAAAGAATTACAAGCAAAAAAACCATCACCCCTTTTTCTTTCTTTTTTTTTTTTTTTTGCTTCATTTTTTATATCCCAACTAAAGAAGAAAAAGATATCTCTTCACACGAAAATCTTCACTTAAATTCTCATATTTCATGGCTATATGAACTTAATTATAGAGTTGCATGAATTCTTTTTTAAAAAAAATTTTATTTTCCTTTTTATTAATAAAAGAAATGTATGAATTTTCACTGAACAGTAAATTTATTTGTTCAATAATAAGAAAATAAAAAAAATTATTTATTTACTTTTTATTTCCTTCTTTTTAGCAAAATTCTTTTATTCTCTGCATTTATTCTTTATCGTTTGTCAAAACGATTGACAATTGTGAAATTTTCTCACATTCAATGAAATGAAAATTAATTGTATATAAAAATTATTAGACCATATTCTTTATGCTAAAAAAAAAATATATAAAAATTTTTTATTTCTCTCTCTCTTTATATATTTAGAGTCGTTCTTGAATTTTCCATTTCTATCACCTAAAGATAAAAACCAACTCCAGCTGCATTCTTAGACTAAAACTTTTCAATCGATAACACTTACTTTCAGGGGAAAGAATTTCTCGTAAAATTTATAGACCCTTTGTTTTAAACAGAAAATAGATCAAATCGACTTGAAAAATTATATCCTTTTTCTTTGGTCTCTCTACCTATATATAATACTAAAATCTTCGTTTTCATTCTTTGGATTAAAATAGATTATTGATGAAAACATTATTGATAAAAAAAAAAAAAAATGATAAAAATTAATTTAAAAAATAAAAAAAAATCATAAAATTAATAACAATATTAATTGAAAAATTAATAAAAAAAAATTATAAAAAAATTAATAAAAAATAGATTTAAAAAATTGATTAAAAAAAAATTATTTTTCAAAAATAATCGTTATTAATTAATAAAATTGATTGAATTTATAATTGTGAAAGTTTTCTACACTCTGGAAAATACACGATGAAACGCTAACCGCAATGGAAACAGTTGTGAGTGACACGATGGTTAAAGTAATCATGTGGAACATCAAAGCAACGTGTTACAAATTTCCACAACTTAAGGAATTCTCTCTTTATAAAACGTGTGCAAAAGTAGAAATTGAAAATTTTCTCTTAAATTTTACTTTATCAATTTAAAATCATTTTCTATTTATTTTTTATTTATTTTCTATTATATTCAAATATTTTTGAAAATATATATATATTTTTTTATTTTTCATTTTTCTCTATTGTCAAAAAATATTCCCTAAAAAATATCTATCATGTAAGAAAAATTTTTCTAAAAATTCAAAAGAAAAATTCCTATCAAATTCCCCGAAAAAAGAACGAAAAAAAATTTTCATATAACAATTAAATAAAGAAATAAATTCAGGTTAAAAGTGCAATTGCACCGTCATAAATTGTATTGCATCCTGCGGTAATCGAGTACTTGAATGGGATTAAAATGTATTTTATGTTTATAAATGAAAATGAAAATGTCACTCAATAATATTGATTTTTCATTGATAGAATGGGAGCGGAAAAGAGAAGCATCATGATACATTTTTCTCTATCTATTGTTGATGTGTTTATTAAATCCTTAACCCTATATAACAAAAAGCATTGCAGGAAAAGGGAAAAAGTCTCTTTTGTATCACTCGATAGAACTTTAATGACAATGAAACTATATAGAGCTTCCCAACATTCACTTAAATGTAGTGGCATCGTAAATGCAACTCTCTCGTAATTGTTGCTCAGTACCTACTTTCTACGCTATCCCAGTAACTTTACCCAGTTTCCTGGCCTATTTACTAACTATTCACGAGTTTAGATACTGAAAAAGGCAAATTGCAGATATAAAACTTTCCTATATATAGATGAAAAAAAAAAGAAAATTTATCTTTCAAATCCTTTTCGAAAAAAAATTCCAACTAAATTAAAATAAAATAATAAACTTTTTTTCATGAAAAAAATATAAAAATTCTTTTTCTAAAAGAAAAAACCATAATTGATTTCATGTTTTTGTTTACACATTCTTTATAACGATGTTAGTATCCTAAAGGCTAAAGTATAATCTCAAAAAAAAAAAAGAAAGTTTCAAGTATATACAAGGTAGTGTTTTAGATTTGTTCAATAATTCATGTGAGTACTTAGAGGGGCTTCTTTGCTTGATGTTTCAGGTGGAGACATAAGAGTGAATGTCATAGTGCCTAAGGAAGCCGAAGTTGGCACATCCATAAATTTAAAATGCGAGTGGATTCTCAGTAAAGGGGATACTCTTTACTCGGTAAAATGGTATAAAGACGATCACGAATTTTTTCGATACGTTCCCGACCAGAATCCAAAAATTCAAACATTTCCATTAAACGGAGTCTATCTTGACGTAAGTACACTCTTAACGTAAATTTTTTCAAAACCCTTAAAAAAAAAAAACCTCATTTTAATTTTAATGAAAGCATGTTTGATTTAAGCCGCATGGAAATCACATTTTCTTGAGAATTTTTATTCTCAACTAAGTTTTTTATCTTCAAGATACCGCGAGAGAATAGAAAAAAGAAGGAAATGAATACAAAGTAAAGTGAATAAAAGATATTATCAAGAGAGAAGGATAGAGTAAAAAAAAACATGACGAAACGTAAGTTTTAATTTGATAATGAGCTTTAAATTAATCATGCTTTTAAGAAAATTATACACTTGAGAAGAAAATTTTGATATAAATATTTAAGTAAATTTTAATCTGATGTACGTTTTTTCCCCTCTATATATATATTATATCTTGATTGTATTTTCATTTGCTTCCTGTAATAAACTTAGGAGATTGTATGATATACCATCTATCCTTATGAGAAGAAAGTTTTCAAGTTTGATGGGCGTCTTTATAGTATCTTAAAAGCGTTTTAAAACTTCTGAACATCTCATCATGATCACTTCAAAGTTTCTAAGTTCTAAAGACGAGCGCCTTTCAGATAAAAATATTACAAAACTATAATAATTTTTGATAATAAAAAAATGAAACAAGACTTCAAAGTATAAAAGTCGACAGCTAAATACAGTTTTTTTTTCCCCACAAAATAAATCTCAATTATCTTTTAATTTATTTTTTGTAAATTTATTTTATATTTTATAAAGTATTCAATCCAATTCGATAAATTGATACCTTCAACCTTTGAATTAAAAACAATAAAATTCTAAATATCGTATTTTTAAATAAAACAGACAATTCTTTTTTTTTTTGAAACTAATTAAATATAATTTGAAATTAAGATAATTGCGAATTTAAGGAAAATAACCTCTTACAACGATAGATGGGTATAGTATTATCTTGTCAGATGACACTCGAACTACGCTTCGGGCAATGTAATGCGCTATACATCTTTCGTAATTCTCTTCTCCTAAGGAATTTGGCAGGATTTGCATTTAGACGACTCACATCTCGACGTTGGCTCGCCATTTCCGACTCGTGGGAATAATCTACAACGGAACCTTTACAAACCCAAGGAGAAGTACTTCTCCCCCAGAAAGATATACTGCACGTCGAAAATGCCCTGGATCGCATTACCCAAGGCATAATATAACTCGCCTCCCCCACCCCCCTCCCCCTTTTCAACCCTCCTTTTAACCATCACGAAAAATTATGTAATGAAGCGAACTACTTTCACATGAAATATTTTCCAAGATATTTATGTCTTATATATATATAAATATACTCATATGAAATTATTTGCCTACCGAAAATTTCGAGAATGAAAGTGATTTGGAAATATTAAAAATTCCTCAGCTTCATTTTTTTTGTAAAGCCAGACTAGAATAACAAAAAGTTTTAATTTAAGATTTTTTTCAAAAATCTCTTTTCAAAAAACTGATAAAAAAAATTGATAAATTATAAACAAAAAAATATGTCTGTAATAAAAAATGGAAATACTTTGAAAATCGAAATAAAAATTCTAAATGAGAAATATTTACTCTCTAAATCTGAATTAGTAGTTTTCTACTAATGAAATAGTGCGTATTCGTTTACCAATTGAATTAGTAACAGTTTTGACTCTTTTTTAGTAGAAAACTACTAATTACTAGTAGAAAACTACTAATTCATGGAGTAAATCGTATTTTTTACTATTTTAAATTAGTAAGCCGATTTACATAAAGAATTAGTAATTTTCTACTAGCAATTAGTAGTTTTCTACTAAAAAAAGAGTCCAAAACTGTTACTAATTCAATTGGTAAACGAATCCGCACTCTTTTATTAGTAGAAAACTACTAATTCAGATTTAGAGAGTAGTCATGAAGAATCGAACCTTCGTTATCTTGTTTATTGAGAAATCGAGTATGGAAACCACTCACCTACTCTCTAAATCTGAATTAGTAAAAATGTTTACTAATTTAAATTAGTAACTCACTTTTTGCTTTAGATTTAGTTAAATTTTACTAATTGTTAGTAAAAGTTACTAATGATTAGTAAAATTTTACTAATTCAGAAGCAAAAAGTAAGTCACTAATTCAAATTAGTAAACATTTTTACTAATTCAGATATATGGAAAATTTCAATTTTCAAAAATATTAATTTTTAATGAAACACGCGAAAAAATAAAGTAGAATTTTTATCCCGCATTTCGGTATAAAAATTAACTGCAACAAATTTTATCCTAGTTAAAATCGAATTGGTTAAAATTACCTGCAACAAAATTTATCCATCATTTTTTCAGTGATAATGCAACGAATTTTAAACTATAATTGAAAGTTTTCTGAATTATTTCGTCGGAAAATCTCTCTCTCTCTCTCGAAAAAAACCATAAAATGTAACACACGTTATATACATAAAATTATCTTACTCAAAAAATTGGATTTTCCCCAGAGTCGAGTTGATATCAAAGAAGCATCGTGTGCGATGCTTTTTCAGGAAGCATTTCCATTTAGAGGAAGACCTCTTCCTAGCAAAGCTGAGGAACAATACAAATGTCGTGTGAGCCACTTCCTCTTTGACCAAGTACAAAAAAAAAAAAAAGAAAAGAAAAAAAAAACTCTTTCCTTTTCCACGAGAGAAATGAAATGGCTGGCCGTAAAGTGGTGCAAGGACGAAGACGACGACGACAACGATCACGATCAGGGGGTTTCTTTCCTCTGTGTATATGTATATATAGGTGTACACGGAATTCAATGCAATCAATCTTTTCTCACATCCTTGGGTACAGTCTGTGTCTGAATCAAGAGTTCAAGCTATTTTCACCAAATGCCAAAAGACCTAACACTACGTCTATTTTTCTCTCTCTCTCTCTCTCACTCTTCCACAGGTAAATTCGGAATAATTTCGAATGTCGACTGTACAACCATCCGAAAGCTAGCTTTCGACTCGATTCGTCTTCTTGGCATTGCCGACGACCTCAGCAGCATCAGAACTACTAAAATGGCTCGGAACATTCGTACAAACGAGGCACTAGGGTTCGTTTTGTTACCCCTCAGAGAGAATGAGAATTCCTCCCGCGATTTTACTCAGTAGTTTACTACCTTTCTTTTTTTTTTTTTTTTTTTTTTGCCCCCACCTCTAGAAATTTGACAAAAAATTCCTCGCTTTGGTATTTTTCAATGTTTCGAAAAACAAAAACATCACGTTTGCTTTTAATACTCGACAATTTCAAAAATTTAATTACTTTTTTAATTGTTTTTCCACCATTTTTCAATATGGCTTTCAAAAACCGCTATTTGTCCTATTTTTAGAAAAGAATTTTGTATTAATTAATTTTAAATAAAAAAAATATAATATAAAGGAATAAAAAATAATAATAAAAAATAAAATTACATATTTTTACTTTATCTAATTAAAAAAAAAAAAAACAATGAACTCGCTGAGTTGAGTAAACAATATTTCCGCAAGATCATAAAATTTGCATAAACATAAACATCAAAATACTCTCATTTCATCTTAATAAAATTGCCTCATGCAATAAATTTATCGATAAACAAATCATAATTAAAAATTTAAAGACAAACACATAACATTAACAAAAAAAATATATATATTTTAGAATAATATTAAAAATAATAATATACAGTGTTTTCTTTTTTTTTATTTTATTATTATAATTTACTACTTTTTTATACAAAAGGACATATTTTCCCCTCTATTGTAAGCCAATTTATATTATCAATAATTTAAAGAAATAATAATAAACATAATAATAGCAATGCAAATAATAAAAAAATGAAAGGAATAGAAAACAATAGTTTAATAATAGTTAAAAGAATATAAAATAAAAGTAAATTTCTATAGAAATAAAAACGACTTTAAACAGAACATATGAAAAAAATAATCGAGGTAATTAAAAAAAAAAATGAAAAAAAAGAGCGAAAATAAAATTCTAGAAAACCAAGAGCGAACGACTCACGAGTCAGGTTGTAATTTCATTTCATACTTTTATCCACGTAAATTTATCACTTGCTACCGGACGTCCGGTTTAATCTACTAATTTGCGTTATACAGAGAGTGGGTGTCTTCTCCTTCTCTCTCTCTCTCTTTCCCCTTATGTAGGTAATGTGCTGCGTCGGCCTGCACACGTAAACGTGCAGTGCGAAAGTAACGAATGTGAGACGGCCCCGACGGAATCACGAAAACGTGGTTTGCAACATTCTCTTTTGTCCGCCAAACACAAGCCAAGGGAAAAACTCACTTTGAAAAATTATGCTTCATTTTCTATGTTGCCACCGACAATTTTCCACATTCAATCCCCCTTTTTCTATATATATACATATATGCCTCATGTGGAAAAGTTACACAATTTTTGAGTGACACTTCTAAAATGAAATATCATACATGAACATATATACCTATCTATGGTAACGGCACCAGTGAAAGAACATTTAAGGAAATGCATACTTTTATCATTTATTATTTTTGAATGCAGTTATTAAAAATTTTTTTACCAATTTTTTTTCGATAGCTAATTAAGTGTAGAATGCGAAGGTCATATTTAATTTTCATAAATATAAGATGTTAATTAAAATTTTAATTAATAAGTAAAACATACCTATTTCACCAGTGAAAGAACAAATTGTCTAATGAAAGAATTTTCTGCATCCAGTGAAAGAACAATGTGAAATATATATTTAAAATATATTTAAAAAATATATTAAAACAAAGATAAAGTAATCAAATGTTTGTAATATACTAAAATAAAGGTAAATTAATGATAATTATGAATATTTTTTAACTAAGTTTGCGGAATCTTATTTTTAATTGAAAATGCATTTATAACCTACAATCAATCATCTAGTTGCAATTTATTTTGACAATATTATTGTAACCTAACAGTGTTAACCTATTTGATTTTTTCATTTTTTTGTTTAACTTCAGACTATTCGTTGAAGGTGTTCCTTTATTGGATTGCATTG